TTTAGAAAAGGTTGCCACTAGGTAACTTTTATTAGGTTGCTTTTCCTTTTAGCACTATAACGGTTTGAAAAAATTATGATGCTACAACACTTCGGATTTCAGTGCATATCCTGATGAACAGAGAATGGTTCCTCAGCTAAACCTGATTCCGAAGGTTGAATAATTGATGAAAGTCATGACATGGTCTCTGGGTGAGGGCTAAAAGAACAGGTTTCCTACAGAGATCTAAAGTAATTTTCTAACTATGTTTTAAGATGTTGGTTGTAGTTTCAACCAACTATGAGTTTTTATGTATAGAGAAGAAGAAAGAATGAAGAAGCAAATATTTTTCTTGTTGTATTGAATTTATTTCTACTGCAAACCTCTTTGACAATATATAGTGTCCTCTCAAAGACCATTGAACTTTCCATACAAGCACACACTTGATACATGTACACAGCTAATACATGTACATACTTGATATAAGTATACATTTAATACATGTACACACTTGATACATATATATACCCAAAAGACATAATGAACATGGCATTAATCTAATTTTTACACTCCCCTTTAATGCCATGTTGTGATACCCAATAACTCTCTAAAGTATTCAAACTTATTTCTTGGAAGTGCTTTGGTGAAGATGTTCGTAACTTGGTCTTCGGTCTTGCAATACTTGAGTTGAATCTCTTTATCCTCCACAGCCTCTCTAATAATGTGATACTTGATTGCAATGTGCCTTGTGCAACTATAGAAGATGGGATTCTTTGTCATAGCAATTACGGATTTGTTGTCACAAAAATTGGAGCAGCTTCTCCTTACTTCTTACTAACATCTTCAAAAATTTTTCTTAGCCATATTGCTTGTGACGCTGCCAATGATGCTAAAATATATTCAGCCTCAGCAAAAGATTGCGCCACCGTTTCTTGCTTCTTGGATGCCCATAAAAATGCACCCGAACCAAGATAGAATGCACAACTAGAAGTGCTTCTCATATCATCAACACATCCGGCCCAATGACTGTTACAAAATCCAAACAACTTTGCTTCAACATTTTGCTTATACAAGATGCCAAAATCAAGTGTACCTTGTATATATCTCAATACCCTCTTGGCTGCCCCAAAATGAATTTGACTTGGGTTGTGCATAAATCGAGATAATAAGCTTGTACCATACAAGATGTCGGGTCTTGAAGCTACCAAATATAATAGACTTCCAACCAAGCTTCTATAGAGATATGCATTCGCTTCTTCGTTTTAATCTTCTTTCATCAATTTTCATTCACAACCAAAGGAGTGCAAACAGATTTGCAATTCAATGTTCTGAACTTTTTAAGAAGAGTTTTGTATACTTCCTTTAGTAAATAAAAAATCATTCTTTTTAATAAATTTCAATGCCCAAGAAGTAATGCAACAAATCCAAATCACTCATTTCATATTTTTTTCCATCATCTCTCTTTTAAAATCATCAATAATTTTTCTATCACTATCGGTAAATACCAAATCATCAACATAAAAAGAAACAATAAGAATATAGATTTTACCTTGCGTCTTGAAATACAAGTTTGGCTCACTTTTACTCCATTAAAAGCTCTTTTTGATGAAGTAAGAATCAATCTCATTATACCATATGCACGGGGTGCTTGTTTTAGGCCTTACAAAGCCTTCTTCAATTTGTAGACTTTCTCTTCTTCGCCTTTTGCAACAAAGCCTTGAGGTTGTTGTACATAAACTTCCTCTTTCAAAACACCATTTAAGAAGGCTAATTTTACATCAAGTTAATACAAGGACCAACCTTTTTAAGCCGCTAAGGCAATAAGAGTTTTGATTATGTCAAGTCGAGCCACAAGTGCAAAAGTTTCTTGAAAATCAATTCCGAGCTGTTGAGAATACCCTTTCGCTGCAAGTCTTGCTTTGTTCTTTTGAATGGAGCCATCCGGATTGAATATTTTTTTGAAGATCCACTTCATACTACACATCTTTATTTTCGGCTTCTCTACAAACTCCCAAGTTTTGTTCTTCTCAATCACATAAATTTCGTCTTCTAAGCTTTCTTCCATGCTTCTTCATTAGTTGTACCTTCAAAGCTCTCCGGTTTAATAACACAAAAATTACAACTTGCATACACATTACTAAGGCTTTTCATCCTTCTTGGAGTTGAACTTGGAGATAAGGAATTTGAGCTTGATGGAAAAGTTGGGCCTGATTGTGGGCTACCTATTGGAGACATTTGTTATGGAGCTTCAATAATATCTTCATCTTCAATTTCATTATTTTATGATCCTTCATTAAAAGAAATGACTTGATCTTGAACTTTCTTCTATTTATAATCCCAAGAAGCCTTCTCATAAAAGAAAACATCTCTACAAATAATCAACTTGTTCTTCTTCAAATTAAAGAATCTATGCCCTTCGATTTTGAGTTATAACCTACAAAAATGCAATTTTCACTAGCTTTATCAAGTGTGTGCCTCACTTTTCTTGGAACGTGAGCAAAACAAATACACTCAAAAACTTTTAAGTGATTCAATGATGGCTTCCATCCATTCCATGCTTCAAATGAAGTTTTATTCTCCACCAACTTTGTTGGACTTTTATTCATCAAGTAAAAGTCGTATTCATAGTTTCAGCTCAAAAGTATTTAGGCAGCCCCTGTTAGACCAAGTGGGGGAGGGGGTGAATTGGTCTAAGTCAATCTTATTACAGTTTAAATTCTTCTTTAGGTTCATAGCACACTACAAGTACAATGAATGATAAATCCACAGGTACGCAAGATATTACAAGGAAAACCCTCTCAATAGGGAAAAACCTTTCTTCTTGGCCTTAATCAATAAATTCTCCACTAGTTGTATACAAGTAGTTACACACTCATCTATCTCACTCTCTGCACACACCCTTGTACAAGATGAAACACTAGTTTTCACAGCCTCTACTCACACACTAGCTTAACTAAGTGCACACTGCACTCCCCCTGTCCTAAGCACCCTTGCTTGGACCTCAAAAGCTCTCAAAGCTCACCAAATACATGAAAATATATCAACAAGAATTATAAAATAGCTATTACAAATGATAGGATTTAGAACAAAGATCAAAGTATACAAAACTAGAAACTCCAGAACACAAAGAGACAAATGGTACGTTATCATTGTCAAACTTCAATGCAGCTTCAATGGTAGCTTAAACTAGGTTTCCACAACCTTATCTTAGGTTAACATGCTTGAATAAAATAATACAGTCAATGAATAACAAGCACAAAACAGATCATAGCTCAAATAGGCTTCAACTCAATTCTGAGGGTAAAAAGGTGATCAATTCACACTATAGCTCCAATTCAGACCTTCAGTTGATGTCTACAACCTTGTATCACTAAAGTACACTTGCTCAAATGATGAGGACACTTCAAATAGCAAGATATAACAATATGAACTATAGCAACCCGAACCCGTGGGTCCATATCACTACTCGGGTCCTAACTCGACCCGAGGAATTCTGAGGGCAAAATGGTCATTATGTACCTTACTAAGTGTTAGAATTCATAATGAGGTCACACTAGTTGTTTCTAACCACGTCGGTCCATGAAAATGTTGAAAACTCCAGCTTCGGGTTCACACAGGACCTCTAGGGTTTATAAGGGTAAAACAGTCGTTTCAAGTCATAAATATGAAATGATACTGGTAACAATGGAAGGAGGATTCAAAATCCTTCAATTTGAGCTCAAGAACGACATAATTTGGGTTAGAAACGAAGAAGATATGGTCAATCAAAATTTAGTCATTAACTAGGGTAAAATGGGCATTCTGATGACCGATCGTGAATGGGTGCGATCGATCGTAAATGTGGGTGCGATCGATCTTTTTCAGGGTTTGTTTTTACATCAATAAGCTTCATGCCAGTTTGCTCTTAATTGGAATCAAGCTTTGATACCACTTATGTTGGCTGTAGTTTCAGCCAACTATGAGTTTTTGTGTATGGAGAAGAAGAAATGAGGAAACAAATATTTTTCTTGTTGTATGGAATTTATTTTTACTACAAACCCCTTGGACCATACATGCACACACTTGATACATGTACACACTTGATATATGCATACACTTAATACATATATACACTTGATACATATATAAACCCAAAAGACATAATCAACATCACATTAATCTAATTTTAACATTAGACCCATCTCTTCCTTTAGCCTTAGCATCTGCCACTAGATCCTAGTTCAAGAAAGGTGCTAATTTTCAGTGCAAACATATTTCACCCCTTTTTTTTATGCCCTAAACTACTCCTGGAATTTTGGAATTTCCCACTCTAAATAGTTACCAATAATCACGCGATGAACATGTGTGGAGTTACGCGTCTTCAATCCATCAGATTGACGTCCCTTTCATTGGGGTGATCACACATGATTGCTTGGGTAGATAATGTTCTTTAGCACACTGGGGAACTCGAATATCTCTCGTTGGACCATTTCACTTGTACTTTGTGAGAAAATAAGATCGTTGGATACCTCCGCTACTAAGATGTTGGTTTGTCTTCTCCTAAGACCATCTACCTAAGCAATTGATCACCCATCCAAAACTTGGTCAATAAAGTTGTTTAATGAATCCTAGGCGAAAACACTTTGGAATGCCCACATCTAGCTTTGGTGAGCAAAGTAGCTGTTTTGCTACTCTCAAGACTAAAACTAATTCTCTTGGTTATGGCTGAGATACTTTCGAAAATACTTAATCAGTTGACTGTTGATGATGACTCATATTGTCACATTTGAAGATGGCCATTTTCCATCCTCAAAGTAAGGGCGATAAAATTCAATTTTGAGTGCAAACACATATTTTGCCGCATACTTTAACCAATAAATAATATACATGCATATATATATTATACTATCATCTCCCCTGACTCTTTTTTTTTTTCCTATTATTTCTCTCAACTTGATTGTTCAACGTTTAATATTCATACCTTGCCACAATTTGGAAATTTTTTTTTTCTTTTCACTTTGTGTCATTCCTCATAAACGCAGGGGTGTTTTACTGTGGGCCACAAGCACTTACAAAGGAACTAAGAAAGCTAGCTTCAGATTTCTCTCACAAGACGGCCACAAGATTTGAATTTCATAAAGAAAACATGTGACCACAATGGAAGAGAAATAAGGTATGCAGAACCAGCATATCAGACAAATCTCTAGAGTCCCACCACCATTATAACCCCAATTTCTCTCATGTAAAGTTAAAGTTGGTGTTCTTGGTTTTCAAGTACTACTTTTACAGCATGAGTGTGCAGTTATTAATAGAGAATTGTGACAGTGGAATGGGGAATGGTCCTGTTTGGATAGATGTCCAAGTCCACCTTTCACTAAACATATATTGATGAGGTAAAAGCCGTTTTGGGATGAACAAAATATGTCATCCTTCCATCAGTAAAGCTAATTATGGTCGAATATAAGATATTTGTTGATTCATAAGAGGTATAGAGATGTGCATAGCTACGGGGTTGTGAAAATGGAAAATACCAACCACCGAAAGAAGTATTGCCTCTAAAATTTAATTGTATACGTTTAATACATATATTTATTAAACGTATAGAAGGTTTGTGATGATTTCCCGTTTTCCATTTTTTATTTTATTTTTATTTTGAAGTCTTAATCTATGTCCTTAAGAGTATGAAATGTTACAATTTGGTTTTTCTCATTCATGCCAAATGGACACTGTTCAAGATTTCCTTGCTGCTGGTTCACTTCATTCCCAGTTATTTGGAACTGGTAGGTAAACCATTATAATGCAGAGAGACAAAGAGAATGAGATAGAGAGAGAATTGACGCAAAATATGATAATGACTGCCAAACAAGATTTATTTTTATTTTTATTTTATTTTATTTTTGATATATAAGCAAATTCCAAGTTAGCTAAGCTGGTTCTGGAACAAATTATGTTCAATAGTATGGAAAATACTGGAGTTGGCACCAATGGGGTCCAGCCAGAGTGACGATGGCTGCTTGTATACGTCAAAATAATGTAGTAAATATGCGGTTTAAGAAAAGCCTTTTAGGTCAAATTTAAATTTATAAAAATCACTACCACCACTACTACTAATGTAGCAAGAGTGAATAGGGATTGTCTCAAGAGATTATACATGTTGGAATTTAACTTTGACTCTAATGTATCACAAGATTGCAAAAAGATTTGATGAGATGATTAAACTACTTCAATTAAAGAAAATGCAATTAAAATAAAACTAAGTTGAAATAGGGATTTAAAAGATATGAAGAGAGGTCTTAGGGTGATGGAATCACCACTAAGCTAATGTAATTAACCACTTGCTTTCCATTAATGGGGAATACATTGTTATGAACAAAATGTGACTACCAATTGCAATATTAAGCATGAACCATCAAATTCATGTATGAATTGTCTACCTAATCAACAAATAAACTAAGTGTAGAACAACCCATCAAATCTAAGCATGATCCATCAAACTAGTCACAATTGTAGCACACATCAATCTAGAGAATTATGGAATTTGTAATAATAAGCCATAGAATATCAAACCAAGTATAGATTGTCTACCTACCTACAAGCATGAGTTAAATTGTAGAACAACCCATCAAGTATAAGAATAGTCCATCAAATTAATCTACAAACTCATTCATTGAAAACCCATACTTAGCCATCACTAAATCCTTAATTAATCACACATAGACATGCAACCAACATAGAGAATCTAGTGTAGAGATCAATTCCCCAAATAATCATATATAATACAACATGTAATCAAATAGAGAATCGATAGAAAGAATTAATCCATATGATTCATGTAAGAAATAATTCCTAATTTCATCACACATATACATGGAAATAAACTAGAGAATTAATAGGAAGAATTAAACCATACAAATCATAGAAATATACCAAGATTCATTAAATTCACAAGGCTAGAACACTAATCACAACAATATATATAAATCCCCAAAAATAGAAATACAAGGGTTTAGATTACACAAGACTTATGGCTCATCCAAGCCCTAAATGTAGATTTAGCCAATCATGGAGGAGGTAGATGTGGTCATGAAACCCTCAAAGGCAAGCTCCAAACATGGCTCCATCTTCTTCTTCTTCTTCTTTAAAGCTTTAGAGAGAAAGAGTGCGTGGATCTAGAGATGTGTTCTTGAGATGTGCCTCCACTTTCCTCTTCTCCTCTAACCCTAATCTCTAACTTTTCTAGAGAGAGAAAATAAAAATTACAATGTAAAAATAAAATGATGAAAAGGTTCCCTTACAAAATGGGTCACTTCCTTTTAAATAGAAGGTCATTTTCTTAGTCATTAAGTCAGAAATATAACCCTAAAAATATCTAATCCCGCAACTATGTGGTAGGTAGAATCGGCGCGCTCGGGAATTAAACAATTCACTGCCAGCACATTTTCGATCGATCAGACTTTTCTTCGATTGATCAGAGTTTGTTCGATCGATCCAACTTTTGATCAATCTGGGTTCAATCGATCCAACTCTGATCGATCTTACTTTTCTCAGATCTATCAGACTATTCTTAGATCTATCCAACTTGGCAATTTTTCAGCATCAGCCTCCTTTTGCTCCAAATTCTCACAAAGACTTAGTTTAACTCCAAAAAGGCCTTAAGAAGCTATTTTTAGCTCGTTTTAACTTTATTGACCTAAAAATGGAAATAACACGAAATTAGTCTAAAACGAAAAAATAAGATAGATAAAGGTCCTAAAATACTCGAGCTTAAAGGGTTTAAAAGTGCACTTTTCAGCGCTTATCACACCCCTAAACTTAAATATTGTTAGTCCCTAGCAATGAACTACAAGGTAAAGGAAGGAAATGAACAACTATACAACTATGAATCTAGAAAACAATAAATGGATAACGCCACTTGCGTAGGGAACACGATTGCATTTAGCGTATGCAACAAGCCTTTTAAACCCCTAGGTTACTCCTAGTGGACGAGTGAAGTCTCGTGAGGGTTTCCAGAAATGATACTCACAAACATTAAGCTCATTCTCACAAAAAATGTACCACTATTGCAAACAAGTATTGGAAGAAAACTATCTCAAGTATACAATTTTTCAACCATTTCTAAGCAATCTCCTAAGATTTCAACATCAAGTAAGCAAGTATGGTCCTCCATATATGAAGAAAATGATCATGCAAATCAAAACAAGTCTAGAATCCTATTTGAGTGAACCGGAATCAAATATGTTGCTATCTTAGCCAACTAAATAAATGATCACATCCTTACCCTCAAACTAGCACACAAATCTAGTACCGATCATCAAGACAAAGAGTTGACCTTTTATTAAAGCTTTATTGTTTTAGGTGCGTTTATTCTTTTCACTCGATTTTTTTATTTTTTATTTATTTATTTTTTATTTTTTTATTCCTAAGGATCAAAGATGGAAGCATAGTGCAATGTCTTGATCTATTCAGCTTTCTAGCGATCCATGAGGTAGAGCGTTAAGTCAATGACTCCCAAACTGGACGGCTTTAGGGCATTAGGTGTTCAAACACCCCTAAGGACTTACAAGCTCAAATCAACTAGGTTACAAATCGAAACAACCTCAATCTAATCATTTCCGACTTCTCACCTTTTGGGAGAAGTTCTCACTTTTTTATTACTTTTGTAACTTCTTCTTCTTCTTCTTCTTCTTTTTTTTTTTTTTTTTTTTTTTTTTTTTTTTTTTTTTTTTACAATTTATTAACCTAGAGTTTGGGCCCTCCACCTTTCGGCGCGAGAAATTCAGTGCTTGATGAGGCGAGAATCCTGGCTACTCAATCAAAAGGGTTTGTTATCCACCTTTATCAAGAATGAAAGCTTTCAATGCACTACTAGCCTAATTGGGATTTAACCAATTCAATAATCAACAAAGCATGTACCCCACAAATGAATGCTAGTGTGCGCCTGTGCTAGTGTAGAATCCTAGAGTGAATCTCAAAACAATCACAAAATCAGGATGATGTGGACCACAAAAGTAAGCAAGATATCAATCTTTCAAAAAATTTACTCCTAAATGGTATCTACAAGGCATACAAGGAGTATTGGACTCTCAAGTCAAGCAATTTTTAAATTTTAAGCAATATAGTCCTCAAAAGATCAAAATCATCGCTAATATGGATCTCAAATCTTAATCATGCAATTAAAGTTCAACTTTAAGTAGAATGCAACAAAGACACCTTACCCCCAAACTTAAACCGCACATTGTCCTCAATGTGCAATGAGAACAATGGAAAAGATGGAAAGAGTATACCGTGGTGGCGAAAGCATGAAGCCCGGCAATGATCCAATATGAAAAGGGTCTCCCCCAAACTTGGAATCAACAACCTATTTGAATAACCACACTAGCAAACTCACATCAAATATTAAATGAGATAAAAATAATCAAATCATGCATTCTAAGACAATATAACACAAGATGAAAGAGAGATATGAGATCAAGCCCTAATTAAAGTATAAAGTGTGCATGACTACACATAAGGGCACAATGTTGAAAAGTTTTTATATTTTTCATTTTATGAAAGCAAGTATATACAAAAGGCAAGAAAAACAAAGAATAAAATACATGAACAAAATGCAAAAAGAAAAATAAAGAAGGCAAAATGTAATGAAAGAATATGTACAATGTAAGAAATGAAAAATAAAAAGTAAGAAAGGATGCAAGAACAAAAAATATGAAAATGAAAATAAAAACTCTTTATTTCATTTTTTTTATAACATAACAAGTATGTACACACACACAAAATAAAATGCAAAGAAATAAAAATGCAATAAATGAAAATGCAATGAAATAAAGAATGCAAATTTATTTTTATTTATTTATTTATGAAAGAATGTACAATGAAACAAAATGTAAGAAAAATACAAAATGATTGTTAAGTTTAACGTCTCTAACAAGACGTAATGCCACTTTGAAAGATTGTTTATTTTTTTTTTTATTAATTTTTTTTTTAGACAAAACAAATATATCCACAAACAAAAATAAAAAAGGCAAGTAAATAAAAATGTAAGAAGTAAAGATGCAATTAAATAAATAATGCAAAGAGAGAATTTTTTTTTTTTTTTCGAGAGAAAGTAACTAAATAAAATAAAAGAAAATAACAAAAGTAAAAGAAGATGAAAAAAAAAAAATTAAAAAAAAAATAAAAAGAAAAAAAAGTCAAAAAGTCAAAAGGGCAAAGCTATGATCGATCCTGTGATCGATCTCTATGCTCGCATGATAGGATAGAGGCATGAAATTTGTAGAGCTTTGAAAATTTTTCTAAGTATGAAATCTTGATCGATCATGAGGGCTCTTGGATCGATCAAATTGACTTGGATTGATCGAGCATAAAGTTCAAATGATACACAAAGACCTGAAATATGCAGAGAATTTTCGAACGATGGAACAGAGAGATGAAAATATGCAGAGATAATGTTTAATCGATCGAAAATCTCTTATGATCGATTAAACAAGGCACTAAATGCCTAATTTTGAGCTGAAAGTGCAGAAAATCCTATGCTAAGCCCCAATGAAGGTAACATGAATGGAGATTGAAAAATGGATGGAAGAATGTACACAAGAACGAAAAATAAAAAGAAATGAGGGAGTGATAGAGTTTTGAAACTCTACGAATACTACTTTTTAACGTCT